CCAACTCCTATGACAACCATCTTTCCCTTATCTCCCCCTATCACAGTAACACATTGTTAGGTGTCTTTTCTAATTTAAACAGTTGTTTTCTGGGCCTCCTCTGGTGGCACAGTGGTTAAGCGCTGGGCTGCAAAGGTGCCTGCAGCCTTTGCAGCGCTGGTTCGATCCCTGGCCGCTGGCGAGGGTCCCACATGGCGCGACAGACCTCTCCTGCCGCCCGCTGCTCCCCTCAGCAGTGTATTTCCTCAGTCTGCCTGTTCTGTTCCCTGCTCTGGCTCTGGTGAATTCTCTCACCCTCCCGCTCTTCTGACTGTACCCAGTGCTTGTAGAAATAAATAAATAAATCTTTAAAAAATAAAAAAATAAACAAATAAACAGTTGTTTTCTTCAGCTGAAGGGGGTGACAGGCTAAGAGCTCTTCCTTCCAGGGCTTCTGTGCCCTGTGGCTTATGAAGAAGGTTCTCGGGATGGTGCCTGGCCTGGGATTCTGGATAATCAAAAGGCACACACTTTCTTCCTCACGTATCTTGCCCTCAACATGACACGATGGGAACAATGAACATAAATAAGATGGTTTACAACCTTCCTTGGTGTCTTTCCAATGCAGCTTTAAACTTTTGTACTGTTGTCCTATTCTTTAGAATCTGCTGTAGTTTGGAAGGTAAACTCTTCACACAACCTTCACAAGCTCCGCTATCTCCCTGCCCCCTCTTCCTTCCTCACCATGGAATGGGAATACCTACTTCACCTTTTGTCTCAAGCCCATCCACTTCCTTCCTGAGCTTCAAAGGTAGGCCAGGGCCTTGGAGATGTGGTCAGTGGGCACTCGGGGTCTAGCACAGCCATCGCACCTTGTGGGGTATCTCTTCTCCTACCTGCCACCTGAACATCCTTTCCTTAAATAAAGCTTCACCCACCCAAAGTCCTGTCTCACTCTGAAAGAGGATGGACCAGCCACCTCGGGAGCCCTTTGTTTGAGGTTTCCGCACCTCACATCCTCATCCACAAAGCGCCCGTCCTCACACAGGTAGGAAGTCTGCTCTGCACCGGGCAGGAGCCTAGGTCCCAGCACCCAATAAACGGACGGGCCATGGCCCAGGTGCGTCCAGCAGCCAAAATTCTCCAATTCTACGACCAAACTTGCAGGTCCTATAGCTGCGACGGGAGGCAGAACTGCGGCGGCGACCCTCGACCTCCGCGCGGCTGCCGGCAGCTGGACCGGCCCCCGGCCGCGCGGGCTCCCGCGTCCCCGCCCCCGACCCCGGGCGCCGGGGCGGCGGAGGCCCTGCCCGCGCCCGCCCGCCGCCCGCCCTCCTGCATCCTCACCGGCGCCGCCGCCTCTCACCTGGCCCGCTGGCATCGCTAGCCCCGCGCCTCACGGGCGGCCCTGGGCCCGGACGGGTCTCAGCGGTCACCCGCCGGCAGAGGAGGAGGCTGGCGGGGGCGTCCGGGGCCCGGAGTCCAGCGCGCCGCCACCGGGAACGCGCCGCCCGGTTTCTAAGGAACCGGCGGCTCTGGAAAGGGAGGGGCGGGCCCGGCGGGAGACCTGCGCATGCTCCCTGCCGGGGGCGGGGCCGTGAGGGGCGGGGCCGGAGCCGCGCATGCGCGCTTTGGTAGGGGCGGGGCTAAGTGGCCGGGCCACGGACGCCGGGCGCGCGTTTCCGGCCGCGGGGCCGCTGTCGGTCGGCCGCGGCCTCTCCCGGGCCTGCGCCCCGCATCCAGAGCGAAGAGGTTCTGGGGTCCGTGGCGGACCTTGGTTGTCCTGGAAGGAAGGAAGGTCAGGTGTTGGGCAACGACCTGTCTTGGCAAAACGCCCGTTCGCTGGAGCTCGCCGGGCTTCCCGGCTCGGCGCTCCCATCTCCCAGCCGCCTGCGGAGCTGCTGCCCCTCTGGATGGTTTTTGACTTTTCCCTTAGGTAGCACTGCTCTTGGGGTCTCAGTGCTCTCGGCCCCCTCCCCCGGACCTCTCCCATCTCTTTACTGGAACCAGTGTCCCCCACAAGTAAATGCCATTTTGCAAGCGACCCTTGAGCTCACCTGGCTGCCCACCCGAGCGGTGAAACCTGTGCGACCTGCTGTCAGACAGGCTGTGTTGAAAGGCGTGACCGGGGTTGTTTCTGCCTAAGGATCCTCCGCCCCTGCTTGTCTGATTCTCCTGCTGAGTCCAGACCCCTACTCAGCTGGCATCCGGTGCCCCAGCCTTCTCTGGCCGGCAGCCTGTGATGACAGGACTTGTCAGTTGAGCTGAGCTGGATTCCCCTAAGACCTGCTGACCAGCAGGGCTCTCCTGCTTTGGCAAGAGACGTCAGAACTTCCTGTCAATTTTATGAGTGATAAGATATTAACTTCAGGCTATGCTTTCCAGGATGTTTAAGCAGCATCCTGACTGCTACCCACTAGATTCCAGTAGCATCCTAACCCCAGGTGTGACTACTAAAGGTATCTCCACGGTGGCGCAGTGGGTTGAGCGCCGCGCTGTGAACCTGCCTGCAGCCTCCGCAGTGCGGGTTCGATTCCCGGCTGGCCAGGGAGAAACCCACATGGCACGACAGTCCTCTCGTCTTACCTGCTGCTCCCCTCAGCAGTGTATTTCAGTCAGTCTGCCTGTTCTGTTTGCCACTCTGTCTCCGGTGAATCCTCTCACGCTCCCGCGCCTCTGGCCTGTACCCCAATTCTTTTTTTTTTTTTTTTATAGAGGCATGCTTTATTTATTTGTTTGCTGGTTTCTTTGTTTGTTTTGTTTATACATGCACTGGGTACAGTCAGAAGCGCGGGAGGGCGAGAGAATTCACCAGAGCCAGAGCGGGGAGCAGAGCAGGCAGAAGGACCGAAGTACACTGCTGAGGGGAGCAGCGGGCGGCAGGAGAGGTCTGCGCGCCATGTGGGACCCTCCTCCGGTGGCCGGGGAGCAGCCGGGGATCGAACCGGCGCCGCAGAGGCCGCGCGCAGCTTCGCAACCCAGCGCTCAACCGCTGCGCCACCGGGGAGGCCCTGTACCCCAATTCTTGTATAAATAAATAAATCTTTAAAAAAATTCAAGTGGGCCTCCCTCGTGGCACAAGGGGTTAAGCACTGCACTATGAAGCAGTCTGCAGCCCCTGCAGCACGAGTTTGATGAGTTTGATCCCCAGCTGGCCAGGGAGCAACCCACATGGCGCAGCAGACCTCTTCTGTCTCGCCCACTGGTCCCCTCAGCAGTGTATTTCAGTCAGTCCGCCTGTTCTGTTCCACTCTGTCTCTGGTGAATCCTCTCACCCCCCACATCTCTGGCCTGTACCCCATCTCTTGTATGCATAAATAAATAAATATTTTTAAAAATTTAAAAAAATTAAAGATATCTCCGGATGGTTTCCACATGTCCCCCCAAATCGCTGAGGTGAGAGCCACTTAGTCTAGCTGCATCTACTCTGGCTTATGGGACCAGGACTTTTTTTTTTTTAAGATTGATTTATTTATTCATACACGCACTGGGTACAGTCAGAAGCACGGGGTGGGGGGGGTGAGAGAATTCACCAGAGCCAGAGTGGAGAACAGAGCAGGCAGAAGGACCGAAGTACACTGCTGAGGGGAGCTGCGGGGGCAGTAGAGGTCTGCGCGCCATGTGGGACCCTCGCCAGGTGGCCAGGGATCTGGACCAGCACTGCAGAGGCTGCGGGCAGCTTCGCAGCCCAGCGCTCAACCGCTGCGCCACCGGGGAGGCCCTTAACATGAGACTTTTAGAGCTTTTGATGAGCTGGTCATAGTCACTGTGAGCACCCAGGACAGTATCTTACTTACTGGATCACAGAACCCTTTTCCAGCTCCAGGAACCATCTCCCTCTCAGATGTAGTTACTTACGCTCTCGCAAATTTCCCCACTCCAGTGACGTTCAGCTTTAGTGGCACAATTATCCACCTGTCACCCAGGCCAAAAACCTGCATTTGCTTAGGCTTTTTTAAGTCAGCACTTTTATTTTTTAATGTTTTATTTTTGCATAGAAGAACGAGGGTGCAGGCCAGAGGTGCAGGGGGTGAGAGGTTTCACCAAGACAGAGTGGGGAGCAGAACAGGAAGATCCACTCAAATACACTGCAGAGGGGAGCAGCCAACAAGACAAGAGAGGTCTGCTGCACCATGTGGGTCAGCTCCCTGGCTGGGAATCGAACTCAGACGGCAGCAGTGATAGCGGAGACTTAACCCCTAGGCCACCAGGAAGGCCCTGCCTAGGCTTCTCCTTCTCCCTTACATCATCCTGAGTGCTAACGTTTTATCTCCTAAGTATTTCTCAAACCAGCCCTCTTGTGTCTGGCCTACTGCACTGGTCTTCTCTAACTGGTTTCTCTGCCTCCGTATTTCTGGTCCCACCTCCAGGTGGACGTCAGCATAATCTACTCTCTCCCTCCTCTAAATAAAATCTTGGTGCCTACGAGCAGGGCAGAAAGAATGAGGCTGAGGTATGAGGTACAGCAGCCACAGCAAGGAACATTCTCATAGAGGAAGGGCACTTCCATGTGCTGTGTCCCTGTGTGCCAGGCACGGCCTTCTGCATGCTGCAATTCTGTACCTCCACGGGGCGGAAGGAGTAACAATATTTTAAGGACGGGGAAACGGGTTGAGAAAGGTTAATTTTCCAAGGACGCTCAGTTAGTAAACAGCAGAACTAGGATTAAGAACAAGCGCTTTTTCTCCAGATTTCACTACACCTCAGAAGGGTTATTTCCGGTAGTCCAGTGTCTGTATTTGAAGTGGATAAAAATCTTATTTTGAGGGGGAAGGTCCTGTGGTCCACCTTTCTGAAGTTGAATTTGCCTATGATGAAATTTGCTTTGGGGGAGAAAACTGAAGCTAAGTACTTTTCCCCTTTGAGGTCCTACAAACTCCTGCAGTTTTGAGGGTCCTGGAGGAGGCACCAGAGGCCTGGGCATTTGACAGGTGGGCTGAGAAGGGGTCAAGCCCTGCAGGACAGTACGCCACATGGTGCTGCCAACCCTAAGTCAAGACCCAAAATAGAGACCAGACACTCATGACTCTGCTCATGGAGGTGTATTTTAATAAAAATAATTCTGTCAAAATACAACAGTTTTTTTTTTCATCTCTCAAGTACAATTTAATAGGTTGTTTTGTGTTAGAATTCTCTCTGGACCCTCCCACACCCACAAGTTTCATGCGAATGCCAAGTATCAACTTGCGAGGACAAAGGCAGAACCAGTGTGCACAATGTGGAGGACGTGTGTTTCAGCTGTAGTTACGAATGGAGGAACACCCTATGCAAAGAGGTGGCGCCTGAAGCAGCCAGAGTCCCCGAGTCCAGGTGCTTGGGCCTGGCGGTCGAGTGGGGCTCTGCTGCCCGGCTGCCACACAGCGTGCATACCTGAGTTGTGAGCAACCAAAGGAACTTCCTGCTCTGACAGTTGTCTGCCTCATCTTCTTTGTGCTTACTTAAGGGTGGGAAGGTGCTGGGTGGCCTGGCAGTCCCCGCATCTCCGGCTCTTGGTGTGTTCTGACCCAGCCGTAGACCCACATGGATGAGGAGCAGGGGCTCTGATCTTCGTGTGGTCTGCCAGTTTCTGCTCTGCAAGCAGTGAACATTGGGTGCCACAAGGGGAAAAGGTGAATAGGGAAGACTGCTCCCCAGGACTGAACGACCCCACAGAGCCAAGTCTTCCTCCTGGTCCCGTGAGTCAGGTCCAGTCCTTCCTCTGGGTTTTCTTCCCAAGTGCCTTCTCTACTCGAGGCTCCCGGAAGCAGGCTGGGAGGACTGGGTGTGCATAAGGGGCTCCTCTGGCTGGCAGGCGGGCCTGGACTATCAGCAAGACAGTGGGCTCAAGCAGCTTGGTTTTGGTCCTCTCCACGGCTTTTGGGGCAAAGGCTTATGTCCCAAAGGTAAGCTGTCCAACTGGGACAGAGAGCCCCTCTGGAGAGGAACAGAGTAAACAACTTGGACTCAGCTGAAACAGTGAGATAAGGCACAGAAAATGGGGAGGTGGCCATGGGTACTGAGTGCAAGTCAGGCGGACACCCAACCCCAAGCAGCACACAGCTGTCCCGAGCTCTCCTGGGCCCTCTCTCAGCCGCTCCACAAACCAAGCCCAGGCACCCCTCCCCACCCTTAACACACCCCTGAAGGTACAAGCTGCTCAGACACTGCTGGGGGATCTCACCAGTCTAACCCCCTCACCCACTTTTCAATGTTTAAACTAAACAGTGTGGCCCAAGTCTGAGGGAGGAGGTTAGTCCTGGCTGCTAACCTGCTGTGTGACTTTGGCCAAGTCACTTCATCTACTGGGCCTGTTTCTTTATCTGTAAGAGGAGAGGATTGGTGGAGAAGACATTCCCTCAACCCCATTCCAGCTGCAAAAGCCTCAGGTTTTAACTCCCAATCCTACTCAGCTGTGACCATTTAACAGTCTGATGTTTCCAGCTCTGAGTGTGGAGGCAAGACATCCCCAGCTTCGCCCGGAGTGACTCTCCTTCACAGATGGGATAACACCTCCCCAAGGGGCCAGGGTCTGTGGGCTGCCAGCTGGGGTCCTAGTGGGGATCAAGAAAATGCAGCAGCCTATAGAAGCATGTCCCAAGGAGAACTCTGGGACGGTACAGGGCCAGGGCCTTGACCCTGTCACCAGCAGTTTGTCTGACTCAATCATTTCTCTTGTCCGGCTGCAGGTCTGGAGAGGTCTGGCGGGTACTGAATAGCTCAGGCCATACCAACCATTCCCGCATCCACTGACAAGAAGGCAGGAGCTCGCCGAGCTCAGATGCAGGCAGGGACCGGAAGTCCAACTTCTGGCCTTGCCCCTTTGCAGGGGCTGCTTGTGTGTCACATCCCAGGCCCTCCTGATGCTCCTCTCCTCAGGGGCAATCAGTCTCCGACGGCCCGCCCACATCCCAGCAGCCATCTCAGCTCCTCCTCTCAATTCCCTGATGGCAGTACCTGGACTGTTTTTCCCCACCAGCCATGAAGATCCATTTGAAAAGACCGGTGGGATGTTTGTAAAGCCCACGGAGGTCCCTTCCTCTGGTCAGCAAATACTCCTAATTTTTTCCTAAGACAGCTAGGGCCCAGCTGCAGGGCTGCCTGGCCTAGGGGGTCAAGGGTTCCATCCACTCCAGCATCCAGCGGCCCAAGAATCTGCCTCCACAAGGTCCTGGCTTCTCAACAGCAAGAGTCGATTCCATCAGGCTGTGCCGACAGTGAAGATCCGGGCAGGAAGAAGACAGCCCCTGTTCAAGGGCTCTGTCCTGCGAATGCAGACCTCCTCCTGCAGCTCTAGGGTCGAAGGCAGGCAGTTTCCAGGCAATGAATTTAGAGTCAATGAATTATTTGGCCATCTTAATAAAGGAAGGCAGGATGTTGAAAAGGGAAGAGGGGAAGGGCAAGGCAGGCAGTGAGAGGCAAGGTAGAATGGTAGACAGCGTGCTGGCCAAGGACCCTCTACTCCCTTCCTCTGCGGTATAGCCCTGGGGCAACTTGTAACTTCTCTGGACCCTCAGCCCTGCAGTTCTCTGCTCAGCCCAGTTCTCAGGGCCCAGGGACCCATACCTCTCGAAATGCTACAGACCAACTTAGCCTAACCTGCCCACTCAGTGGCCCTGCAAAGCCTACTCGGCTTCCCCAGACTGTAGCTGGGCCTGTGGCTCAGTGAAGGGGAAGCCTGAAATAAACAAATCATTGGCTAAGGTGACAGAGATGATTCTTTTTTTGTGAGTTGTACTCAAAAACATATGGTGTTTGGACAGCCTCACCCAAGAGGTGCTGAATCACTAACACTACGATAAATACTGTCTTTTTTTAATATATATATTTATATATATAATCTCACTTTTTGTTTTTTTTTTACTTAAGAAAATAATAAGCTATCACCAACTTGATAGGCTTCATCACTAAATTAGCAGAAACCAGCTCAGCACAAACTCTCCAGAGATAAATACTGGTGGCTCAGTCAGGAGGAAAAAAAAAAAAAAGATTAAAAAACCCCAACCCCTCCACAAAATAAAACCTCCCTTTCAAAGTAGAAGGCGCTACATGAGACTAACCAGCCAATACTGTGTCATAGGCCGCTGCACGTGAAGGGGAGAGAGAGGGCCTGAGGGTAAGCAGAGAGGAAGGAGGGAATGAAAGAAGGGGCGGGGGGGAGAGAGAAGGGGGAGGGAAGGAGAAAGGCAGGAGAGGCCAGGTAGGAGGAGTGGACTCTGCCCATGGCTTCCAGGTCCCTGCACCAGATGCCTACGGAGGGCAGGGCTGCTCCAGCCTTGAGGCCGAGGGAGCCAGGTGGGGCCGGCCAGCACGGTCAGCTAGTGCAAGTAGTCGTCAACTCTGGCAAAGGAGCAAGATCCCAGGCCCGCTTGGGCCATGAGCCGTAGACATTCAGATGCCTGGCCCAGGGCGAGCATCAGAGGGGGCTGCTTTGGCAGGTTCTGAGACTCTGTGGAATAAAGATAAGGCCTGGTCACTGTCCAGTCCATAGTTTGGCCTAAGTCAAAGTTTCCTCGGGAGCGGAAAGTGGAGGACTAAACAGAATCTCATGGAAGAGTATAGTGTTCATGTGTCTGTTGAGTGTGTTCCAGCCACCAGGCCATGGCCTGCCGGAAATAAGAGGACCTGGGCTTTCTTTAGAGTGGTCATGGCCTGAGCCTGCAGCCATAGCTTATGGCCTATCATCTCACCCGGACAGAGGGTTTAGGTTCAGTAATGGAATCCCAAGACACTAATGGCCACTAGAGTGCTCCTGGGCATAATTCACCACCCTGATTTGAACAAACATCAGCTCTTCCTAGAGAGAGAGCCAATGGGCCACCCCAGGCACTCGTGAGTCAGCTTCTGTTTCTGTGACATCCACTTACCTAAAATGGCGCTATTGAGGGCAGCGCACACAGGCTCCCTCTGGATGGGGTCAAGCTGCTGGCCAACAGGGCAGCTCCAGGGGTCTGAGTATGCCAGCAGGCTAAAGGCATCCTAAGGGACAGGGAGGGCACTTGTGAGGGGTTTGTGGAACGTAACACACATGTACCTCCATGGCTTCAGAGGAGCAAAGGGCCTTGCATGGTACCAGTAGGGGACAATACACCCTGACTGCAGGCCGAACAGTGTCATGGCCTCCCAGAGCTTAAGAGGGGTGGGGTAGACCCTGGATGTCCCACTTTCCATCGCAGATTTGACTAGAGTCTGCTTTGTCCTCTTGCCGCTGCCCTCAGGGCCCTCCCAGGGTCACCCGGCCCGCCACCATCAGAGGAGCGCCTGCTCTGCAGGAGAGCCTGGCTTGTCCTGTACCTGCAGCATCTCTGTGTGGGCCAGATTCTTGCCATACTCTCGGCCCAGCTGTTCACTCAGGGCCTGCAACTCACGGCCAAACAGGATAATCCTTTCTGTGGCAGCCTGGTTACCTCCACAGAGCTGCCGCCGGGGGTGCCCGTCATCTATAGCCAGAGCCCAGGAGAGAATACATCAGGAGAGGTGAGAAGAGGAGGAACTGGTGAGGGGGTGGGTTTTCCCAAAGACAGCATGGCAAGAAGGACATGGGGGTAGGGTGGGAGAGAGCTGTAGCTTCTGCCAGAGGTAGGTGAGGGCTGAGAGAAGAGAGATTCTGCCATCAGGAGGTCCTGAGGCAGGGAAGAAAGACCTCAGTCCTTTCCTGAGGGCTTCCTCCCTGCAGTCTGATACCTCACAGTGCTCCTAACTTGTGGTCTACATGTCAGATGGGGTTCAGCACCTCTCTCTCCTCCTACCCTGTTCAGATACATGGGTGCTCCTCAGAGCTCACTTTCACCAACTCCCTCTAGCTTCAAACGCAGAGGTCTGGTCTGGCAGCAGGCCTGGGCCTTCCCGCCTCAAGCCCCCATTCATCACTGGCTAAGGAGGTAGTGGACAAGGTTGGCTAGAAGTTCTCTGACCATCCCAACCTCCTCCCAAGGGGAAGAAGGCACCTGGACCAAGTATTGCCCACCAAGGGAAGAGCCAGGTCACACAAGGGCATGGCACTTACCCATGCTGGATTCATCCGTCTGCAGGTCCTCATGCTTGTAGGCGCCATTGACAATGCGTGTGGACATGCTCTCCAGCACCCCATTGGGGTAATGCTCTGCCTCCATCTCCATCTCACTGTCACTGGGGAGAAGGGGTAGGAGGGGAGTTAGCCAAGCAGCCTGGTCAGACCTCCCCTCAGGCTTCACCTGGGCAGCTGTGAGGAAACCGAGGCCCCTAGAAGTACGACAGGGCAGCTCAGGCTTGCTAGGCTCCACTACTTGCCCTCATGTGATCCCAGCTGTCCCCGCTGGCCAGCAACTAAGAGTCCCACTCTTGTTCTAGTGTGACTTCTGTGACCCTCCCTCCATAACACAAGTTGGCACGCCCCTTCTACACATCTCTCCACTCTCACTGAGTGGGCCTGGTGAGTCCCGATGGGCATCCCTGGGAGTCAAACCCAGGTCAGCCCTGAGTATGCTTGGAGGCTGCTGAAAGCCACATGTAGTCTGCAGCCTAAATTCCCCACCAGCCAACTTGGCTGGCCACAGGTGAAGCCGAGGGAAAGCTCCTTCAGTGTAGATCCTGGAGTTTCTCACAGGCCTGATCTCCTTGGAGGAAATCATATTCTTGGCACCACTGGAGAAAACCATGGCCAGGGAAAGTAGCAGCTGAATCACAGGCAGGGTTAGAAGCTGGAGTCCATCCCTGCTGGGGGTTCAGTAGCTACTTTTCCAGGCACACACCTCAATGGGGGTGGCAGGTGCAGGGAAGGGGGTACTCAAAGAACAGACTGCAGAGGGTCCAGCTGGTGCAGGACACAAGGTGGGAGGAGGAAGCAGAAGAGGACAGGTACCTGGTCTCCTGGTTACTGGTGCTGCTGTGGGGCTGGGACTTGGTGGAATCTGTTGAGTTGGACTCTGAGTAATTGACGGAGGAGGGGGACGAGGAGGACGAGGACGAGGAGGAGGAGGAAGAGGAGCTGGGTGCAGGGTATTTACTGTGGTTCTGTTTGCTCTTTGTGGATGCGACGCCATTGCTACAGCTGGGACTGTCTGCTCCTGGAAGTTGGAGGGACAGTCAGAAGTGATGTAGGCTGCCATCCAGTGGGGCCCCTGGAATAACCATAGTGGCCCCAATTCCCTTCCCCCAAACCCAGCAGTGAGCCCTGAGCCCAGCCCAGTGAAGGGCATGTGAGTGGCCTTCTCCACACCAGTTCTTCCCAGAGCCCTCTGGAGAGTGGCTGACCTGTGATGTGCATGTGGGAACTACTGGGGCCGTGGCGGGGGCTGAGGCTGGGGGAGCCAGGGTAGCTGTCCTGGGACTTGGGGCTTCGGGAGCTCAAGCTGCGGACCTCACTGTCGGTCCCATTCACCATCTCCACAAACTGTCGGCACCTGCAGAGGGAGCAGAGCGGCAATGCTCTGGGCTTGGTCCGGATTGTATGCTCCCACCACCAGCTGAGAGGGGCCGGGCTAGCAGGGAGCTGGTGGTACCCACAACTTACTTGAGCATGAAGAGCAAGTTGGGGTTGTGCTCCAGCAGCCCTGGGTAGAAGCGCTGTGTGGTCTCAATAGCCTCACCCACACGGCCCTCCAGCACCAGTTTCTGGATCTCTGTAGAGAACAAAAGCATGGCAGTGAGTGAGGGGCGCTGCAGGGCACATGCCTGCACGCGGAGCAGCTGGTAGGTGGGCTGGCTCAGAGTGGCATGTCTGGTTGAGATGCTCATGGAGGAAGCTGAAGGAAGAACCTGGCAGTCCAGTTCCATAACAGGTCAAGTGTCAGGAGTCCTCACAGAGGGGAAAACAGAGGGGGTCTCTCAGCCCAGAGGCAGGAGCGCAAATTTGGAGGCCTGCTCCTATGGTCCCAAGTAGCCAGGGTCCTGAGCAGAGAAGGGGTCCTGGCTGTGGGGACAAGCACCCAGGCAGCTTGAACGTTCTAAAGGCTCCTTTTCAGACAGAGAAGACTTCTCTCTTCCCAGACCTCACAGGGGAGTGGAATGGGAGTGCACTGGCCATGTCTTGGCAATCCTCAGGGGCTGCAGTGTGCTCCCCACTGGGGGAGGAGGTCACCCGCCTCACATTGGCATCTCTGATGTTGACAGGCCATCAGCATCTTGCCCTTGCCCCGGGCCTGGTGCAACTTGCTGGGAGTGACTTCCGGGTCAGAGCTTCTCTCGTTCATGAATCCCAAATCTGGGATCCCTTTCCGTCTGTCTGGTTGGGTGTAGCTCCTCTGGGAGACAGACACATGCACATACACAGAGACAACAGGCTCAGAGAGACGCAAGCAGGCACACACAGATACACACGTTTACACACTTCCACTCTCCCTCCCTCTCCTCTTCTCTGATCTCCTTTTGAGGTTCTGGTTCCTCCTTCCCAGCATCCTCCTTCCATAAAAGAGCCCTAAATAGTACGCAGGCCAGTAGGAATACCAGGAGAGCTTCATTTGGCTCCTTCCTTTGTTGCCCGCAAAGGGTGGGAGCAGAAGTGGGGAGTAAAGGGAGGTGCTACCACAGCAGCCACCGAGCATCAGCTTTCACCCTGTGACCACTTCAAGGCCCTCTCTGGCCCGGAACAAGAAGAAATACTAAGGCAGAGTAAGCGGCAGCAAAGGCAGGTCGTGGTTCTAATGAGATGCAAACACACACTTCCTGGTGGACCACACAAGAGGCAGAGAGGAATCCAGGATTCAGGGGAAGGAAATAAACATGGAGTAAAGGGATCCATCCGTGCCAGGCCATCAGAGTGTGCGAGAGGGAGGCTGCAAGGTATTCCCATGGGGGTGGACAGCAATCTGGGCAGCCTTATCTTGAGAGGGGCAGAGCAGGGCCTGGGGGAGGGATGGGGCTGCAGGCTGGTCTCCTGGTGGTGAGGACCAGAACTGAAGGGACTCCCGACAGGTTAACCAAGGCTAGCAGGAGCCAGAAAGCAGGGGCATGTGAGGGAAAGGAGAGGGAAGAGGAGAATCAACCTTACTTTGTCTGTTCTTTATGGATGCTTGTTCTTCCTGAATCGGGGTTTCAGTCATTCGGGCAAAAGCCGTGGCCGTGGCACAATACCCATGATGCACCAGGTAAGACGAGACCATGCTAGAAGAAAGGAAATGCTCAAGTTGATACTCAAGAACTGCCTTTCTCACTGACCACCTGATAGCACAGACTATCTCCCCACAAGGTCTTCCCTGAACACATTTTGGAGGTGTAACCGCCACAGAAAGAGAATAAAGGGACTGAAACAAAATGAACACTTGCCCCACTGCTCCTGCGGTCAGGCCAGGGAGGGGCTGGTCACCATCTCTGAGCTTGAGGCTTGGAGTGGCCGCAGTTTCTCTGCGATATGCTGCCCACAAGTGGACAAGTGTGATAACAAAAGTACACACACAGGCACACACCATCTCCTCAAGGAAGCACTGCCTCCTGGGAACTGCAGCAAGCCCAGAGACAGCTGACAGTCTCTCTGACGGCAGCCAGCCAAGCAGTCTGGCAGCCGCCCAGACAGAGATGATGCATGCCACAAGCGCCCCTTCCACAGACATGGGCACTCCTGGTGGCTGCCTGCACACCCTGCAGAAACATTCCAGCTCACCAGGTGAACCTGTCCCTGGCACTCGAGCGTGATGGGGAGCTCGCCCACCACCCAAATTACTCCACAAAACAGGGGCTAACATAGCAGGCAACGGCAAGGTCAACAGGTACAGTATTAGGGAAATGGCGCATGGAAACTGATGCCCCGAGGTCACTTAATCCCACTAAGAGCTGGCTAAGTAGTGGCACTTGTGAATGTGGGTGAACCCTCATATCTGATGAGCACAGAGGGGACCCCCGTTGTGTGCATGTGTCTGATGTCATTAGTATAATGGCCAAACACAAAGGTCTGAGGGGCTGTCGGTGGGAGGCACAGAAGTTCAGCTGTGTGCGCCCAGGCTCTAAGAGGTAAATGAGATGATACACATAGAGTGCTGGGCACCAAGCAAGATGTCAGTAAATACCATTTCTTATCATGAAATTACATTATTTGTAATGTTAAATTCTGAGTAACAGAATTATTAGTATAAACACAAGGGCAAAAATTGGTGACAAAACATGGCTCAGGTGAGTCCCTATGCACATCGGATGCTGCAGAAATGCACAGTCCCTGTGGTGCAGTAATTCCACTTCTGGAACGGACACCAAGGAAATAATAAGGTTAAATATGAAAAACTATATAACAAAGGTTATCTACACAAGCAAAGAGAGGAAATAACTTAGACCTCCCACCAAGGGGAGTCAGTCTAGGGCCCTTGGGCAATTTGTCTCCCAGATAACGGCAGTTAAGAACCTTCATAAAGTGAAATTATGTGAAATCACAGAGTACAAGTTATATGCAGGCCTTGGCAAATACTACATATGAACACACACAAGCACACAGATATTCACATGCATATAAGTACAGCCGTGTGCTAAGCCCAGGCCCAAGAGGCAGTGTCCGTCCCTCCCACACACAGCTGGGGCAGCTCTACCTCTCTCCTTGCTGTCCCAGTAATGTGCTCTGGAGACAGACGGGCACTGTGCTGGCCCTCTGAGGCGAGCTTCTCACTGGCTCTGGGACTGGGAACAAGGGCAAGCAAGCTACTCTTGAGAAGGGTGTGGCCACCTTGCCCCTGCCTTAGAGCTCTGGGGGGCCTGCCTCAACTTCAATCCCTTAAGACAGGAAAGGCAGGCTGCACAAAGATCCTGGTGTGCACCCCAACCAAGGGACCCTGTGCCTGGTGCCAAGGTATCCTGGCACCCCCACGCCTTTACAGGGCAATGAATGACCAGGAATAGTGAAAGTCCAGCCCTTCTCTGCCCACTCTTGGGAGTTGAGCCGACAAGCTAACCTGCTTCCTGGCACAGTGGGTACGGGTCATTGTCTAACTCAGGCCTGCAGCTGGCAAGTAGAAGAGAGACCCACAGCTGGTTGCCCTCGGGACTCTCAGCCACACAGGCTTCCAGAGAAGTCTGGGAAAGAGTCAGCCAACAGCCAGCCTGGCTGGTGCTAGAAAAGACTCTCTTCCTGCCACCACTGCCATGGATGACTGGGACTTAGCTGGATGCTGACTCTGAGAGGTGACATCTGACCAGAGTCACAGCATGACTATGGCTTTAAAAAAAAAAGTCCACAGAGGAAAAGACCACAGGGCACCCTAGCATATCCTCTACAGAATGACCGAGGGCAGGAAAGCCTGCCAGGGTGTGACACACTGGAGCATTCCACTCCAGCTGAGGGGCAAGGTCCCCAGCAGGGGTGCTTGGCCAAAGTGAGCAGGAGCTGTCCATCGGTAAGAAGGAAGCCTGAGAGCAGCAGGTGGCATCACCCTGGGAGGGCTTCCCTGAAGGAACACGACCCGCTAGAGCAGCCTGTAGCAGTGCAGGGGCCAGTAGCAGAATGAGGCCCTGGGCCCACAGGGCAGGACTGGGTAAGGGCGGGGGCAAGGCACTCACTTCTGCAGCACCGCCTGCCACTCGCCAAGCCGGGCACTGATGGGGAAGCAGTGGACGGTGCCCTGGACCTTGGCCCGCCACTCCCGCATGTAGTCCTCAATGTCAAACAGGAAAGGCTGCTGCCCAAAGTTGGCGTCCACAATCTCCCCGGGTGTCTGCAGGCCTACGGTGGGGTAGAGGTTGGCCTGAGGAGGAGAATGAAATGTCAGTCGGGCCTTGAGAGCAATGTGGCACAGGGCCTTGCCGCCCACCTCTCCTCTCTCCCCAGCACAGAGGGGAAGGCACTGGCTCTAACAGGCCGGTGCCCTGGCTCCGAGAGAGCTGCAGCAAGGCTGGGGAGGCAGGGCTAAGCCCATCCTGCCCACCTCTGTCAGAGACACTATTCCCCAAAGCTTTAGGAGAGAAAACAAAAGAAAAGCCAGCCCGGCACAAATGAAGCCCCTTGTATCAGAGGCTACAGTGTCCCCAAAGCCTTAGGCCCTCCTTTGGGACTCGGCCAGGGCAGAGGCAGGCCAGGCTCCCTGGCCATGCAAGTGTGCCGCGAGGATCTGTGCAAGGGTGCAGTGTTCCCCTCAGAGATCCAGGGCCAGGGATCCCTGTGCCACAAAAAAGGGGTATCTGAGGGGGCAGGAAGAGATAGGGGAAGACATGTCAGAGAGGAGGGGGAAGGGGACACTGTGGCCAGATGGTTAGGTGATGTGTTTCCTTGGATGCTGACAAAGGCTCCCTGTCATCAGAGGCTCACTGGGAGGGGGATCTTTCAGGCAGTGAGGCTTGGGGCACATCCCTCCCGGTGGGGCTCCCTGCCATGACTAGCCTCCCCTTCACTGTCACGGAGTCACGTGTCATTCCTGAGTATCATGTGTCTTCACCTTCTTGTCCTCCAGTCCGCAGGCAAAGCCCACCCCTTCCAGCAAGCTTCCCCTGACCCTCACTGCACTCAGTGGCAACCCCTGACCCAACTTGGGGCACCAATATCCTGTCACTTGGCAACATCCTGCCTATATTCACATTTGCTTGTTCCATGTCACCTCTGCACAACTATGCTTCCAGCGGGGGTCAGACTGTTCACTGCCTAGGATAATAGCCTCTCTCTGGGGCCTCCAGGTCAGAGGGATGGATTCTGATACATAGACAGGACCCAGGATGTGGGAATCTGGGCTTCAGAGGGTTCCTCAGATCACAAGGGTTTTTCCAAGGGCAATGCTGGGGTTTCCAGGATCTGAAACTGCCACCAGAGTCAGCAAACCTTCCCTCCTTTCAGAGCCGACCCAGGGCACATTGAGCCTGGCCAGGCCACAGCATGCTGGGTGGAGGCCCTACATGTGATGAGGCCTGTGATGACTCAGAATAAAGAAGGATTAGGGTGCAGGAGGTGGAGCTGAGCCCTGATCTAAGCCCCCACAAAGTTCACCTCCCTGGCTCGGGGGCACCCTCTGTGGTGGAGGCTCTGTCCCTAGGGCACTGCCTTTCCTCGGGGATCTCTGTTGGGGAGGCACGGAGGCTGGGCTCCCTAACAGTACAAGAGCAGCTCTCTGTACCACAGTGCACTGGTTGTAAGCCACACAGAGCTGGTTCAGACTGGCTGAGTCACGGAGTTACTGACATCTTCACCCAAACTGCCCTCACCCCCACAGAGGCCTTTGGAAATGCGATATATCACTGTCACCTGCTAAGAGTCATGGAGGGGGCCTCCCCGGTGGCGCAGTGGTTGAGCGCTGGGTTGCGAAGCTGCCCACAGCCTCTATAGCACTGGTTCGATCCCCGGCTGCTCCCCGGCCACCGGAGGAGGGTCCCACATGGCACACAGACCTCTCCTGCCGCCCACTGCTCCCCTCAGCAGTGTACTTCGGTCCCTCCGCCTGCTCTGCTCCCCGCTCTGACTCTGGTGAATTCTCTCACCCTCCCGCGCTTCTGACGTACCCAGTGCTTGTATAAATAAATAAAAATAAATCTTAAATAAAAAAAAAAGTCATGGAGGAAGACCGGGCCTTGACACTGGAGAAAGGAGGCCAGCAGATACTCCCTAGCATGACCCTCAAGCTGTCAGCACCACATACATGCCTGGCTGGGGAGAGGCCAGGCGCCATACTCTGCACTTGCAGGTACCACCCTGTCCCATCCCACCTAGTCCCCAAAAGCCTGAATGGGAGAGACCCACCAGCAGTACTTACCGGGAGGTCTGTGAAGGCTATACCTGTGGAGGGAAAGGAAAAGTCATCAGTTTATTTGGTCTCCTGCACCTCTGCAGGCCCACAGAGGGCCCGTCACAATGGCTGAGGAGGGGCAGCTCACAATATCGCCCTGTGGTGGAAGCCAAGCTCAGACCAGGCCTGGTGGTTTTCGACCCTGGCTGTCCTTCTGGGTGACCAGGCTGGGAGTAAAGTCAGACACTTGGGTATTTGTCCACAACTCTTCTGTGCTCTCAGGGAAAGCCTGTGAGGAAGGACTTAACTCAAACAATCTCTCTCTGAGGCCTCTTCAGGCCTGGTCCTTCTCTTGATCCAGTACCGACTGATGGCGTCCTCCTGCGTATGCCAGGTCCTTTCCCATCGTTACCTCATCAGACTAGTTTACACTAGTTTACAGATTTAAAAAACAAGGTACAGACATTGCTTATATTCTTTGCCGGGCTATTCTGCTCCTCCGTGAGGAGACCCCATACATTCCATGATCTGTGGCCAGGGGGAGTTTCTGAGGCCCACACTCAGCACCAGCCGTCACAGAGCTGGCAGCGGGGAGCCTGGAAGCCCCTCCCCACCCAATAGGAGACCACCATGTCCACCCTCAGGTCTGCACAGTAGCTGCCCTCACAGCTCTCTGTCGTCAGGCTGTTGCTGCCAGACTCCTGCTTACGAAGGAGGCCGACACACCACTGGGCAAAGGGGGAGCCCAGACTCATCTGTTATCTGCAATGTGACTTTTGCCAAGTTACCCAACCTCTCTGAGTCCATCTGAGGGGAAAAAAAAAACACAAGGCTAACCCTTCTATCTCAATGAAGAAAGAAGAAACTGAGATACTCTGGAAGCTGCTTCATAAACTCTGAGATCTAGATACAAATTGGCTGCAGTTGTGCCATGGGGTGAGGCAACTGCCATGCTTCTGGGGAGGGGGTGACCCTCCTCCACCCCCCTCTTCTGCCCCCCACCAGCTTGCCTGGCTCTCCATCACAATGGCACTCAGGAAGGAGAAGGCCTTGGGGTGCTTCCAGGAGGATGAGGAAAGAGGCTACTCCACCCCCGGTTGCACTAGACGAGGGCAACACTACTCCCCCTGGCCCTGCATGTTTCTGAGAGCCTCTGAAAGGCCATTGTGACAGCAAGATCTGGGTTGGCCTAGGGAAGAAGGTCCAGGCAGAGATCCAAGATAAAAACAGGACATTCAAACTTGCTGATAAGAAGTGCCCTGAGCCAAACACGGGTCAGGGATCAGCAGCCTGGATTTAAAGAGACGCAGAATTGTATAAAAACAACCTGCACTAGCTACTTGTGGATGAGAAACCATTCTCCTGTCTCCATTCATTTGCTCATTCATCCTGCCATCAAGTACCTGCTGAGACTGCCCTGGAGCCCATCCCTATGACAGGAAAATAGCTGCAAGCCTGGCGTTCAAAGGCCTGACAACTCCAGCTAATGAGATGGCACAGACAACTGGCCAACAACACACAGCCCGAGCGCTGTGATGACAGGAGCCTCACAGCACAGAGGAAAGGAGCAGGGAGGCCACAGGCAGGCAACAGCATTCGTTTCTCTAAAGGAGAGGGGAAAGGTTCTCAGGTTAGAGAGCATGACTGGCTCACTGATCCCCGGTAAGATTCTGAAGCACAAACTGGCTTGTCAAAAGCAAACGGGACCATCCGATCTTCACCATAGTCGTTTACCACTCCAAGTCCATTGTCCTTCCATTAAATTTTGTGATAAGGCAAAGTTGGGGACAGGACACATCTCTTTTTCAGTAAGGTCTCCCTAATATCCTTGTGGACAAAATAAGGGAAGCTGGGTTTTAAGCTAGTGTAACTCCTTCTCAACCACAGGTGTGCAGCGATGTCTGCAGCGCTCAAACATAGCCTGGAGAACCCAGGTGGGACTACAGAAAGCACCTGGGCTGAAGGGCTGGCCTAGAGGGGGCGTCAGTGTGTATCCCACCACACAACTCTGGTGCCCGCAGCATAGTAGGAAGTTTGAATCGTTGAAGCTCACTGACCCTTCAGTACCCAACTGCCCCAGTTTCTTTCTACCTAACACCCCTTGCCAGTACCAGTTCTCTGGCCATCTGAGCACGTGGAAAGGCAGCCATCTGAAAGTTTATCCCTATTACAACATATAAAATTTAAAATGAAGACAAAAGAACCTATCACAAATGCAGGATCAAATTAACACAATTAAGTGATTCTTAAATAGCTGGTACACACCTAGACCAGCTGATCTATAGGCTGACATACTCAAAAGTCAGCCTTGTCCTCCTCCAATATTTTGTATCAATACCTTGATAATAACACATAGAAACATGTTTACCAAATTATAGGCTAACAGAATGCTGAAAAGGATACCAAATATTTGAGACAGAACATGCAAGCTTACCAGATTTATAAGGTCTTTCCTAGGGTCTGTAAGTTTTTAAAAACAGCACAAAGGTTTGAACTGGTATTAAAGTGGTCATGAGCTCCTTATGGGCCTAGGGACCTGATGGACAAAGAGCTCATGGGCTCTGGTATACATTTAGGGCCCAGAAGAGGGAGGTTCAGGTGCAGGGACAGAGGGGACAGTTGGGTATGCCCCAAACCTTGCATCCTATAGCAGGTGCCATGCTCTGAGCAAAGTGTAGACAAGCTGGAGGGTGTGAACAGGGCAGGTATCCAGAGCAGTCGGGCAGCACTGGTCCTGGCTGCAAGGGGACGTGTGAAGGGTGGTAGGATAAAGAATAGGCGCCTACGACAGTGGCATCTGAGACTCTGAGAGCAGAAAAACCAAATAGCTGTAAAAGCAGATGGGGAGTGAGGCGCCATCTTAAGGGCCTAGTCTTGCCCTCTAGGTGCTGACTCCTTAGCAGCTGGCTATCAGCTGGGTGGCATGGATCTCATAGGAGTGAGCCTCCAGGTAAGCGCAGCAGGGTCTGTGCTATGCTCTCAGTTGCCCACTCTGGGCTGTGGTATCAGGCTGCCCAACTGAGGAATGCTGACTCCTGACAACTTAGCCCACCAACAAACTTGATTCAAGTCCCCTGGTTATGCCCAGGTTCATGTGGAGAAGTCAAGGAGAGTTGTGGAACGTGGCAGTCATTTTTTTTTAACCTTCACAAGCCCGGGGAAGGGAGTCTCCCAGGACTTGAATCTAAGTAAAATGCCTAATTCCCCTCCCTGTGATGGCCTGCCTGGTTGGGTTCTGCCAAATCAGACTTGTGCAAACCCAGCGAGGCTGGACCAAGAGTTAGGCACCACCTCAAGATGACTGTGGCCAAAGGCTCCTCTCACTCAATGGCCAAATACCAATCAGCCTTAGTAGGAAAAGGCTTCAGCAAAGCCGGAGTCCACCCCCCATCTCAAATTCTAACTCTGAATCACTATATATGGAAGACTGCTCCTCAAAGGGATCCTATGGGGTGCCCATCACCCTCCACTGACGGCTGCTCCCACTGGCTCACAGCACCACTGATTCAACCATTTCCCAATCCTCCCTTCTTGCTAGTGCACCCCAACTGTCGCTGAGTCCTGCTGGGCCACCCTGGACCTCTATTGTCAGGTCTTTTCCCCACTTCCTGCACCTAACGCCACTGCCTTGCTTCACATCACCCGCCTCCTCATTTGCCCTTACCCCAGTCAATCCATCATTTGCAATCTCACCAAAGGGACCTTTTGAGCAAGATACAAAGAGTCTTTGGTTGTTTATAGGTTGCTCCCTATAAATCACAAAGAGAGGGCCTCCCTGGTGGTGCAGGGTTTTTAAAGACAGCACTATCAAGCTATCGCCAGCCACTGCAGCAAGAGTTTGATCCCCAGCCAGCCAGGAAGCAACCCACATGGTGCAGAAGATCTTTCCTGTCCCGCCTGCTGCTCCCCTCAGCAGTGTATTTCAGTAGATCTGCCTGATCTGCTCCCCACTCTCTCTGGTGAATCCTCTCACCCCCAACATCTCTGGCTTCCACCCCAGTTCTTGTAAAGAATAAAGAAATATTTTTAAAAACAAATAAATAAATCACAAAGAGACCAGAAGAGACCAGGCCCTATCTGACTCCAGCCTGTTCATTTACCTCCTGCACTCGTACAGCCCGCATTGGACCTCCATAGCAAGTAGGAACATGAGTATCAGAATGGCCAAAGTCTGGGCCCAAGCTACAGGCACCACTGTCAACTATGTACTCAGGCCCCTCTAACTTATCATGAACCCCAAATGCTATTCCAACAAGTGCCACAAAGGTCAGGGGCTTGGCTAGCACCTACCTCTCTCAGCACCCACCATGGGATTGATAAATGCTGCTGAGTGGCTGGATTAACAAAGGCAGAGGTTGTTACCCTCCCTTCACCTTGCATGGCTCTAATGTCTGGAAATGGCTGTGGTTCCCCAGAGTTCAGCAGAGGCTCTTTCACATTGCTTTGGTCCGCCTTTGGGTGTCTCATCAATCAAAGTGGGGCCACAGGACACACCTTCCAAGGTCCCCTATGCACCCACCCAGGCTGTGGCCATTCTTGGTGTAGAAGCAGGTGCCATTGATGAGGTTGACACAGCAGCCAATCACATCTCCCGTGGTGAATGTGGGACCATAGGGCTGGCCAGTCCCTGAGGAGCAGAAGGAATGCCCGTCATCACCGTGATAGCCGTAGGAATGCTTGTCCCAACCTGCAGCAGAAGAAAGAAAGCAGCAATGATTGAGCAGACCTTCTCAAGAAAGGAGCAAAACAGTTACAGGAGCCCATCCAAGCCTGAGTCTCTCTTCCCCCTCAGCTACCACACCTCAGCCAGCACCAGGCCTCTCACAGAGCTAGGTTGGACGGGCTCCGGCTGCGCCAAACGAGCAGTGAGTCCAGCAGGCCCCCTCCTAAAGAGCTGACACAGACCACTGAAGGCAGTGCCACCAGGTGGTGAGCAAAGCAGTGTGGAGAAGGGCTTGAACAGACTTCTGAGGCCTATCATGATGGGTTTTTACAAATTATTTTAAAATTGAATTATGATTTACATCTAATAAGAGTCTCCCTTTTTAACTTATCAGTTCAGTAAGTTTTAACAAATGTGAAAAACAATTTTACTACCATCAAATCATGGTAAAGAACATTTTCTTTTTTTTTTTTTTTTAATTTATTTATTTATACAAGCACTGGGTACAGTCAGAGAGTGAGAGAATTCACCAGAGCCAGAGCGGGGAACAGAACAGGCAGACCGACGAAATACACTGCTGAGGGGAGCAGCGGGCGGCAGGAGAGGTCTGTCGCACCATGTGGGACTCTCGCCGGCAGCCGGGATCAAACCAGCGCTGCAGAGGCTGCGGGCAGCTTCGCAGCCCAGCCTCAACTGCTGCGCCACATGGTAAAGAACATTTTCATGACTGCAAAAAGTTCCCTGGGGACTCTGCAGTCAGTCCTACTTGACCTACCCCAGTCCAGGCCATCACTGATCTGATTTGTTTGAACCAATGGTTCTGACTTTTTCAGAATGCCACATAAATGGAATCACGCAATACAGAATGTCTTGGGTCTGGCTTCTTTCAATTAGCCATAATGCACGGAGATCCATCCACACTGTCAGATGTACCAATATCTTTTCTTTTCTTTAAGATCTATTTATTTATGCATACAGGAGCTGGAGTGTAGGCCAGAGATACAGGGGGTAAGAGGATTCACCAGAGACAGAGTGGGGAGCAGAACAGGCGGGCTGACTGAAATACACTGCTAAGGGGAGCTGCGGGCAAGACAGGAGAGGTCTGCTGTGCTGTGTGGGTCATCTTCCTGGCCAGGGATTGATCTTGTGCTGCAGTGGCTGCAGATAGCTTCATCATGCTGAGACTTAACTCCTTGCGTCACCAGAGAGGCCCTTGTTTCTTTTCTTTTTTAAAGATTATTTATTTATGCATACAAGAACTGGGGTATAGGCCAGAGATGTGGGTGTGAGAGGACTCATCAGAGACAGAGTGGGGAACAGAAGAGGCCCCCTCCCCTTGTTTCTTTTCACTGGCCAGTAGCACTTCACAATGGCTACTAGTTTGCATGCCCAGCAGCAAGGAACGAGTTCAACATTTTCACCAGCATTAAGTATTATCAAGTGCTTCTGTTTTTACTTTTTAAAGTCATTCTAGTAGGTCATTTTAGAGGTTTTAATATCATTCTGATTTATTTTGCATATCCCCAGTAATAAGAACATTGAACATTTTTCATATACTTATCTTTAGTGTATTAGACAAAATATTGAACTGTCTATTCAGATATTTGATTTATTCTTTTTAAATTCGGTTGTATATTTTAGTAAATTGTTAGATTCTAAATACATTTTTTTTTTTAAAAAATGGAAACAACTTCTTAAATGTTTTTTTTAAATATATTTTTTTAAGATTAATTTTTATTTATTTATTTATTTATACAAGCACTGGGTACAGTCAGAAGTGCGGGAGGGTGAGAGGATTCACCAGAGCCAGAGCGGGGAGCAGAGCAGGCAGAAGGACTGAAGTACACTGCTGAGGGGAGCAGCAGGAGGCAGGAGAGGTCTGCACGCCATGTGGGACCCTCCTCCGGTGGCCGGGGAGCAGCCGGGGATTGAACCGGTGCCGCAGAGGCCGCGGGCAGCTTCGCAACCCAGCGCTCAACCGCTGCGCCAGCGGGGAGGCCCCTAAATACATTTTGGATATAAATACTTTTCATGTATTTTGGGGCTTCCCTGGGGGAACAAGGGGTTAAATCTCAGCACTATGAAGCTATTGCCAGACTCTGCAGCACGAGTTTGATCCCCGGCCAGAGAGCTAACCAACACAGTGCAGCAGACCTCTCCTGTCTCACCTGCTGCTCCCCCTAGCAGTGGATTTCAGTAGATCTGCCTGTTCTGCTCCCCACTCTGTCTCTGGTGAATCCTTTCACCCCATCCCACCCACACCTCTGACCTGGATTCCAGCTCTTGTATGCATAAATAAATAAATCTTTTTTAAAAATATATATATTTTTTAAGTGTTTTGCAAATATTTCCTCCCAGCCTATGACTTGTCTTTTTTATTTTCTTAACAGTGTCTTTCAAAGGCCTGATGGACTTTTTTTATTTTTATTTATTTATGCATACCAGAACTGGGGTACAGGCCAGAGGTGTGGCGGGGGGGAGGATTCACCAGAGACAGAGTGGGGAACAGAATAGGCAGACTGACTGAAATACACTGCATAGGGTAGCAACGGGCGCAACAGAAGAAGTCTGCTGTGCCATGTGGGTAGCTCCCTGTCCGGGGATCAAACTGATGCTGCAGTGGCTGCGGATAGCTTCATAGATTGTGTCTTAACCCCTTGCGCAACCAGGAAGCCCATGCCTGATGGACTTTGATTGAGATTTTGTTAAATCTAGAAAGATCAATTTAGAGAGAATAAAAATGCCTAACAACATTGATTATTCCAATCCATGAGCATGACTTACTTCTCCATTTATTTAGGTCTTTAATTTTCCTCACCAATTTTTTGACACGTTTCTCTCTAAGTATTTCAATTTCAGGGTGGAAGGATGGAGTTAAGGTTTCTTTTCGGGGTCATGAAATGTTCTAAGATTAGATTATCATGATGGCTATCCAACTCCATAAAGAAACTAAAAAACATTGAGCTGTACACTTTACACGGGTGGACTCTGGGGCCTCCCCGGTGGCGCAGCGGTTGAGCGCTGGGTTGCGAACTGCCCGCAGCCTCTGCAGTGCCGGTTCGATCCCCGGCCACCGGGTCAGGGTCCCACATGGCGCGCAGACCTCTCCTGCTGCCCGCTGCTCCCCTCAGCAGTGCATTTCGTCAGTCTGCCTGCTCTGCTCTGCTCTCCGCTCTGACTCTGGTGAATTCTCTCGCCCTCCCGTGCTTCTGACTGTACCCAGTGCTTGTATAAATAAATCTTTAAAAAAAAAAAAAGAGAGAAAAAAATAAGAAACAGGTGGACTCTGTGGTATATAAATGCTATCTTAATGAAACTTAAATAATACATATGTTTGATATTTATATATTCAGCTGCTATGCTGCTGAGTTGTTAAACTCATCAATTAGCTCTGATAACCTCTGTGAAGAATGGGAGTTTTACACATTGTCTGGGAATGAAGACAGTTTTCTTTCTTTCTTCCCCACCTGCACACCTTTCATTTCTTTTTCCTGCCTCATGGCACTGACTTGGACATCTAATACAAAGATGAACAGAAATGGTGAGAGCGGAAGGGAGACCTCTGAAGTGTACCAAGGTTTTACATGGGGACAAGAGCTAAGGTCAATCCAGGAGGGAGAATACAGGTGAAGGTGGGACAGGAGGCGGAGGGCTGCGGAGGGGCCTGTCTACCTAGCCAAGGGGAGGAATGGAGCCCACCAGGCTGGCAGGCATCTCTACTCCCCAAAGCAGCTCCTCTAAGCAGCTCCCTCAGCTTCTGCTGCCTCCTTGGGATCTGAGCAGGATGTGCACGTCAACACACTTGAGCAGACCCCTCAGCCATGGCGGGGTCGGGCAGCTCTCCTCTAGGAAAGAAAGTTCATTCAGCAGGATGCTCAAGGGTCTAAGTGACTCAGGAAGGAGGACAGGGTTTCCAGAGCACCTGTGTGTGTGGTGGCGGGGTGAGGATGGCCGGCGATGGGCAGGCCTTAAGCAAAATGTGTGGGAATCAGAAAAAACGGGTGACAGTGCCAAGAGTTAGGAAGGGAGACAGAGGTCATCACTGGAGAGGAGGCGCTGACTCAACCCTGGAATCTAAACTCTGTCCTTTTCATGTGTTTTGCAAGTACCTGTGGGTCTCCCTGGTGGCCTAGGGGGGGTTAAGTCTCTGCTATCACCACTGTGGCCTGAGTTCAGTCCCCAGCCAGGAAGCTAACCCACATATGGCGCAGCAGACGTCTCCTGTCTCGCCCACTGCACCCCTTAGCAAAGTGTTTCAGTACATCCACCTGTTCTGCGCCCCACTGTCCCTGGTGAATCTGCTCACCCCTCCCTCCACACCTCTGGCCTACATCCCAATTCTTCTACGCTAAAAAAAAAAAAAAAAAATCATCTTAAAAAAAATAATAAACTCTGTCCTGTTCAAAGGTAAGCTGCCCCTCATGGCCACAGCACCTGTCCCAGGCTCTGTCGGACCCTGAGTGTTCATGTCTTTTCACCCAGGAATGCTCCTGTTAAACAGATTCCCCACAGCTCCCAGTAGGGAACAGGCCAAAGCTGAATGCCTCATAGGATGGATGCAGGCTCAGAGCCCCGCTGCTCGCCTCCTGCATCTCCCCACCCCACCACAGCAGGATGCTAGCATGGGACTTGGCAGAAGGGTCATGGTCTAGACCTAGGGCCAAACTGTTCAGTTCTCCAGGCTGCCTGGCTTAGGGGGGAAATGCTGTTCTGGCATCTACCAGCTTCCGTGTCCACTAAGCCCAGGGTACGTAGGGGCATTTTTATTGCTGGTGGGCACAGAGATCATCTGATCGCAGGAAAATGGCTCTTCTTGGGCACAGTGAAGCCCATTCCCACACCAGGCGGCAGGCTAATGAGGCTAACACCGGCAAACCCTCTCCTCAGGCTTCAATGCAAGGGGCCCTGGCTCCTGGCAGCGGCAGCTGCTCCCCTAGTCAAGAGAAGACCACAGATGGAGAGTGGTGGACAGCAGCAGGGAGTGACGCGACAACCCCCTCTCCGGGTTTGGTTCAGCCTGTGCT